CTTTTGTAACTAGGTACATTTAGGTAATTTTAAGAGAATATTGTAAAAACCTTTATTATTATTATATTAATAATTCGTAAGTAGTTGTGTTATCTCTTCATAACCGTTGAAAATAGGCACTTTCATTAATATAAATAAAACCCGCGTATCTAGCGATGGGACGAAAGCGGGTTTACAACAATACAAATCCATTAGTGTTTTATTTGAAGAGCGGAGCTTTCAGCCTATTGTAGGGCGGCCTTGGCCTCCGATGCGACGCTCAGTTCTCTACGGATGCTGCAGTTGATTTGGATTTAAATTGAGCTTTATAAATATAAAATGTAACGGGTTTTAAACCCGCAACTTTAATAAAGATTTTCGTAATTTCTTTATCCCGACGTTACGACTACGACTGATGAACCTGACTACTCGCTAACTTTTTTGACATTTACAGTGTGTAACTAAAGCGCAAATTCATAACAAATATCTTAGTGGCGTTAAAATAACGCAGTGATGGATCAGTAAATAGATCGGTGATTATCACTTCCATCTGTTTAAGTGAATAGGCTTACGGATCGCGTTTTAATCCGTTGAATGTTATAGAGTCTAAGAAAAAGTAAGAGTTTTAAGTTTTTGCAGTCTCTAGCTAAAAATAAATGTTAAATTGCACAAAAATTTCTTTATTTTTTAAATAAATAAATAAATAAAAAGTTATGACTGACGCAGTTTCGAAGATGATATATTAAGTAGCTATTCATATATTTTTAAATTTATTGCTCAACTATAAACATATATTGCTGCTACAGACCGTTGAATCTTACAACACTAAGGCCCGTATTACAGAATGACAACTACATAAATGTTGATCTTTGCTTGAGTACAGTTAGAAAGGGATTTCGCTATGTGCTGTATATAGCGACATCCCTTTCTAACTATGCTCAAGACTAGATTAATTACTGAGAATATTTCTATAATACGGGCCTAAGTAGGCCGATAGATAGGTCCCGGAGTATATCTATAAGGGAACGCGAAAGTTCAAAAGTGCATAAATTGAGTTTTGTTATTGTATTTTATTCTTGTTCACTAGTGGATGCGCCTTAGTATGCGTGGAAAACTTGCTTATTTAGTAAAGGATTAAACTCGCGATCTTGGTGCTTTATAAAAACTTTGAATCCCCGAAGAAATGTAAACATTTTTAGGATTTTGTCAAACTGTTTTGGAGAATCCTTTCTTAGTGCACGCCTTAATCATAATCCCACACCAGAACCTTCCAGTAGCTCCAATTCAGAAGACCGACGATTTGGAGTCGACAGTAATTCATAGCCTTCGATTCCAAATCGTCATGGCAGATTGTATTCTGCTGCTCTAGACGTTCGACCGCAGAACACAAAAAGATGTTAGAGGAGTCTTGGGGGTGGAGCAGGCGCGCCACTGTTATGTGTGAGCAAATACTCATAACTTGACAAAAACTTGGTTCTGATTGCGTCGTTGTTGTCGGGTGTGAGCGCTAATTGGTTCGATTGTAAGATCTCGCGTCGTTTGATTGGCTATTATCAGTTAGGTGAAAGTGTAGTGGGGGTGAGCCGGCGACATCGGCTCCCGTACAAGCGGTTCGACCCTGTAATAAGGGCTCAGATATGGTAGGAGTACTTCGCTAGATGCAACCCTTTATGTTATTCTGCCGCGTTCGAGTAAATCTATAGATCCCTGCTTGGGCTCCCTTACTATATTGCTTGCTGATGGAAGGTAACATGTAAGTATTCTACAGACTCTTGCGACACCAAATGAAGGTACATAAAATAAAACTCATAACATTCTTCCTTGTGATTTTAATAAAACTTATTTATTATTCATTCGTAATAATTACAGTATCAATTAAATAATTTAAGTTACAAAATAGTTGTAAGTAGATACTAATTTACTTAACTTCTAATTATCTAGATCGTTTAATTTAACAATATTATCATAATAGAAATAGATTTAAAATTTGTTTCGATAATTTTATCTTTATTACTTCTTCAAAACAATATACTTCTTGAGTTCCATTCATCTCTTTCGAAAACCCACATATTATATAACCTTTGATTTGTTTCATTTTAAAGCAACAATAAATGCATTACATAAAAGCTACTTTAATAAATGCTATTCAGATGGATACAAATTATCTTCTTAATTGTCAAGAATACGAATAAATGAGATAGTATCTTACAGAATCGACATGCTGTCCCCGTAACATTAGCACCACAATTTACATTATATCACATGTTTTATAGCGCCTAACTGTCAAACTCCAGAGTAATTTGCCAATTGAGCGTGATAAAAACGTGTTATATAGCATGTCGTGGTGCTCATGCTAGGGGGGCTGGACATGCTCGGTGAAAGATACTACACGCGGCGACTCCGAGCGCAGCTTAGGCCAGTTATAGAAAGATTCTCAGTGATTGATCTAGTCTTGAGCATAGTTAGAAAGGGATGTCGCTATATATAGCACATAGCGATATCCCTTTCTAACTGTACTCAAGTAAAGATCGACACTTAGTTGTCATTCTGTAATACGGGCCTTAGAGCTACGAGCGGAGTAGCCGCGCGGCGGCTCTAGTGGCCGCTTCGCAGTGCTCTAATTCGCTTGTGTATTGTTTCATGTTTGCAGTGAAAATTTTAAACTTATGATATAGAAATTGGTTGCTTGATTGCTCTTACTAATGACATAACTGAGAGGAGTACATGCCGAATTATTCTTATAACAACATTAAAAGGATAACTCAAAGATTTATTGGCCTTGCAGCTTGCTACTATAAGGCATTTGTTAGTTATTTGTTTTTAAAAAAGCATTCGCTAGATTTTTGTAAGACTAAAAAATACATGACAATCAAAAGAGCAAATGTACATAAAAATTGCGCCCAATTCCACATTTACAGACGTTGAAAAGTTTAATATAAGGGCAAAAAAAATATGGTCCTAGGATATTAGTAAGATCAAATTTTGCTAGTTGGGTACGGTTTAACCTAAATTGTCAACTTCTCAGATTCTTCGCTCTCGGTGTGCGCTGCGCCTAACTTGCACATTTAGTAGTGCATTTAGTAAATAGTAATTTTAGTATTTCGTAAATCATAACTCGTTTTCCATTTGTTACATTTACATAAGGCTTTATCCTGCAAGCAGTTTTTTCTCCAAACTGTTTTTGCGTTCCCATTGTACGTTTCTTAGACGGGAAGATTTATCTTCAATGACAAAAAAACAATATTACGACTCCTTCGTTCGCGTCGATTTCGTTTCGGAAAGTTTTTTGGTCCACCCGTTTGAGCCTTCATCGCATTTTGAGCGAAGGCCACTGATAATTTTATTGAATATTTCAGCGCCAAAATGATTATGGGCTCAGTGAATAAGTAAGTACTTACATACAGAATAGTAGTTCTAAAGATAGCATTGGTTATTGATTTTGGTGGCCCTTTGCGTATCTTTGCATAAGTACCTGTAATAATATCCTTAGACCCACTTTTGCCAAAGTTCTTTACTTAATTCAAATTAAGATTTAATCGTGTTTAACATCTTATTCCAACTTTGTTAAATTGTTTACAGTCAATTAGATAAATTGAATGCAGCTTTAAATGACTTACATTGAGACCGTAGCTGAGGTGGCGGCGAGTTGTATTCGCTTGCAATGTAAGCGAGTGTTCAAACACGAGCGACCAATCAGAGCTGGCCGCGGTCGCAAGCCGCGTCTTTCTGTGAGACACTTAATATGTTAGTTTTTAAATTTTAATTAAGAACTTTGGTGCAATTGGGTCTTAATCTTAAGAAAAAGATATTATGGCAGATTTAATAAAAAAAAAACCCGTTCATTCATATTTTTTCACTTATCAAATTAAAAAAGGTTTTAAGTAAAAAGCAATTGTTACAGCTGCTATTAGTGTTATACAGAACATCTAGTTACACACATAAGGTCCCAAGGTTAGTTTCAATTAAAGCACATTTGTTGCGATTGGACTGAAAACATCTTTAGAGTATATTTTATGAAGTGAAACTTCTTTACGCACGCTTGACTTGGGGGGTAAGCTGGCGAATGCGTTACGCGTTCCGAAAAGTATGTTCGGGCGAGGCGAACGGGAGTTGAGTGGGGGATATAAACAAGAGAAAGCAGTGCGCGCACACCTTTTTTTCTCTCTTTCTCTTATAGCAAGTAAATAAAATATGAATATGTACATATATGTATATATTGTACACACACATACAGATGGAGCTAAAGATGTTTCACTTCAGTCGTGTGGTCATAAACACATTCGTTTATTAATAAATAAAAAATATTTTATTCTAAGGACTTCGTGTCTTTCTTTTGCAATCGGATTAAATTATAAAACAACAGAGAATGGGACCATAAAATTAACAAATAATTTAACGCTATGCAAAAGCAATTATCAGAGAGGGATGGCATCATTCACGGTGTCCCCCCTCTCTCTTTAGCGATATCTCATTCCACTTACGATTGAATCACGATAAGGCTTCCTCGTTCATTAAAATCCCATCAAAGAAAATTACATACATAAGTCCTCTTATCTTAATCTATCTAAATTCAAATGTCCTATTTGACACGAAACATAATGTTTTTTCATTTATAAAAAAAATGAACTTTTCTCATTAAATTGTAATAATATGGCTAGTGGCCGATTATATCTAATATGAGGTTTCAAGGTGACTTAATTGACCTACCAAATATAAGATCGATATAATAGGGAATATACATAATAATATTTGTACAAAGATATATCTACTTATACATCCATAAGTTTGGCCAAATTATATGATTCCACATCACTAAGTAAGCACCTAAAGATTTTCTAATTTACGACTCAGTAAAACATGAACTATATTAAACTTTGATTCGAAGTGTAAATAATACTTAAAAAGGAAATAATTATAGATGAGCATTGTTATCTAATTGAAGAGATTTAAGATAATATTACTTAGAGGACGAATTTGATAGGGCCAAATAAAACCTTAAAACAAACTACTAATACGTGAAAAGGTATTTAGCTAGGAAGTAGGTACATTTATCTTTGTATTAGAAAAATTAAAATATAACTAACATTCACAGGCGTAAGTTTGGATTTTACTGACTCATTGAGATATACATAAAATTTTATTAAAACTTTTTAGAGCAAACTTCTATAGGAAATTGTAAATATCATTTTAGTACTTTTCCCTTATATTAGCACCACACGACTAGTTTAGCGTTGAACGCCCTATACATTTCTATTTGATACTATACATAGATATGGCGAAGAGAGAAGGAGAAGGAATCTAGATAAACTACAGCAAATTGAAGAGGATAAAGGCTTAAATTTCTAATATTATTATATTTCTCATTACATTTCTCTTGATCACTAATTTACATCACTTATGAAACTTAAAATATTGTAAAATTTTTAGGCAGTCATCCATCTCGCTCATAATATCAACTTAATTATTATTTACTCGCAAAATTAAAAATATTTACTAGTTTTTAATTCATTTCGTGAACTGAGTCATTAAATAGTCAGACTAAACGCATTCACACAAAAATTTAACAGATCTAATGTAATCTGATCGTGATCAGACATTGGTCCGTCGAGCAACACCGCTGTTCAGTCAAAAGGGAGAGAATGAAAATCCTCAAACATTAGTAATGGTAAGTCGCCTTGGGCTCCTTGGTCTGTTCAAATTATTTCCCGATCCTCTCGCATGGACTTGGACAGATCCCGGCGGCATATCTACGGAGGAATGCAGACTTGCTGCTCTCGTGGTTCTTGGGGAAGGGACGCATACTCTCAGGTCTACAGCGCTGTGCAAAGAAGCGGCTCTTGAAGATCTAGGGGTAACAGAATGTGTGTGGTCTGAAGGAGGGGCAAGAGCTGGCAGATCGGCAGCAGAGCGGGAGCGCCTAGGAGGACTCTCGGGGATGAGAGCCATGCCTCCCATACTGCCAACGAATACTGAGTTCTGGAACAAAAACGTTTTGCTTCTGTTGTAGTCACATCTGCGTGATATAAAACTAGACACAAAACCCTCGTATTAATTTTTTGTTTAGTTATTATGATTCCTTAACTCAATTATGACAAGGCATTTTTGATATTGTGCTACTCCTACCACAATCATTGAGACATTGCGCTTTTTCCAAAAAAAATTGATTCTAACATATCCTATTTTGTGACTTACATTAAGTAATAAGTAAAAGGTGATGAAAGTACGTATTTTTGGGTAGTTTTTATGCTAATGTTATTCTATAAATTGAACTGAGATAAAATTGGATAGTATACCGTGAAAAATTGTTGCCACGCGAGAACTGTGCTTAAATCAATTGATATAGGATTAAAATTATCGTTTAGTTAGCGATGGGGCTTGCTTGCTCTGCGTGCTTAGTGTGCGTGTAGTAATACCATTATCATTTGAAACTGATCCAAACTTTAAAAGTAATAGGTTGACAATTGTTACAAAGAAAGTTAAAGTTTCATTCATTCAAAATATTCTTTCCTAAGAAGTGTTTTATTGTTAGATTATATTTTACAAGGCTTAACATTGAATTATAGCTTGAAATTGTATTCTGGCACTTCCAATATATCAACCGCCAAAGGTATGGCGGTTGATATATAATCTGAATCCGTTACTTAGCAACTGCTATTATTATAATCTTAATAATAAAAACATCTGTGCAACAAAGCTGTATTCGGCCTACCTCATAATGGGGTGTAATTGTTAAAACTGGCCGTTAACGAATCCCTTCGGCCGTTTCTGAAGCCATTTTTCGAATCCAGTTTCGAGAAAAGAATTTTAATTTTGTGCAGTCTAGTAGAAGATAGAGATTATTTATTTTAATGAATTGTTTCAACTTGTATGATTAGTGACATAGTAGTTAGCGGTAATACCACCATGTAATTCTCATGGCACTTGCAACTGCAAATTAATTGATGTCTCTGCAAAGATACCTATTAATAATAGTCTTTCATTGTAATCCAAGTCCAATCTAAGCAGCTCGATGGCGCAGGTGGTTAGCGCGTTCGGCTGCGATCGTTGAAGTAAAAGCAACTTTCGCAGTGGTCGGTCATTGGATGGGTGACCAAAAGTTTACTATCTCGAGCTCCTCCGTGCTTCGGAAGGCACGTTAAGCCGTTGGTCCCGGCTGCATCTGCAGTCGTTAGCACCCACCAATCCGCATTGGGCCCGCGTGGTGGGTCATGACCCAATCTCCCTATTCCATCCATAGGGAAGGCCTGTGCCCCAGCAGTGGGGGTATTAATAGGCTGATGATGATGATGTAATCCATGTATTTCAATGTTGTGCTCATTATAATATTGAATATGTGAAGGCTCCAGACTGATGACATAAAAGACTCAATTTATTGTATTATTTTATGTTAAAAGGGTGGCAGGTAGAACATGGCCTGCCTATTAGGTTAGCGGCACCATAGCCTGTAGACATCAAATGTATCAGTCGCCCCGTTGCCTACCCTAACCCAATCCCATCTCACCGACAGAAACACAACACCACCAAAAGGTAGTGTAATTTTACTGCTAGCCTTATAAGAATCATTACTACATTCTGCGAACTAAATGTCTGTAAAAGTCAAATCATTAATTTAGCAATAGGATTGCTTTCGATCTTGGAAAATCTTAGTGATGAAACATAATCTATTAAGTGATATAGACTAATTTGGAGGAGTTAAGAGACCATTGAATTTCCATAAATATTAGTAGATAACTAAAATTCCACTGAGTCCAGGTGTCAGGCTGGATAAAATCGTGAGGTTATTTTTGTTATTTCTTAGATTTATAGGTCAAGCAGTTTGATGCAATGAGATGTTTGAAATGAAGAAAGGGAAAAGGTAATACATAATAAAAAAGTTACAATCAAACTGTTTTCAGTACCTGTCTTGGCCTGTGAGAGAGGTACCCGCAGGGCTGATATGCAGGAAACGGAGCGCCACAATCGTATGACACGCAGCCCCGCGACAAGGAGGCGCGATGCTGCAAGAAAATATTGGTGAGAAAGGCAACTTAAAATCTTTCATTTGACTTACAATATATATTCGTTCGGGTCGAAACATGCAACTGGATTTGAAAGCAGTTAACTTGCACACACTTTAAGTTTGGATGTTTAGCTATCTGACGTCTTTCTAAACCTCTTAATCAGGCTTTGGACCACATTTCCGAATGGGGTACCAGGAATTTAGTTGCGTTTAATGCTAAGATAACCCAGGTCTACATTTTCACGGTAAAAACTTCACCATTCCTTTCCTTTCCTCTGTCCAGGGCTCAACATAGGCGCTTTAGAGCAACATCATCATGCTCGTTGTGGATGTTTGCTCTGACCTGAATCTAAAGGACATATGGACATCGTGATCACAACAACAACAGTATTGAATAAGGTTTAAGGCCTTTTTACACGCCCGATCCACTGTACTTGTTGCAAGACAACAACCTCCAGTCTCTACAATTACGCTGCGATGAGGTATCACTAAGCGCTATATACCCACTATTCGATTTAGGTAAAGATCGTTTAATTTATCACCTAACGCCGCGCCATTGTCTTACTCTTACATGCACAATCAGTGTACAGATGCAACATATAAAAAATTAGCTAAAGTCATCCAGTTGATTCAGTCTCCGGCTAGACACGAACGTGACAGCACGCTTCGATCACTTATAAAAGTGTGGAGGGGCGTTCAGTCACGGTAATATTATCTATATAGTATTGTGACTTCGCCCTGTCCTTGAAAATAAATGCCTACGGCCGAGCGCTGCGTTAGCACGCGGTAGGGCCGCCCGCCTACAGTATTTTATGTAGTTTTGTTTTTAACGCGAGTGTAGGTAGATTACTCGTTTGTCTCTTTTTTCATCCTAACTACTTATTTATATATTATTTCAGATATTTTGCCCGATGGAAAAATCGAAACACCTAAATATTAGAAACAAATTACGTACTAGTAGATAGGTATATAAAAAATACTAGCAAACCAGTGAACCAAATGTTCACCAATTAAAAAAAAATGTATTTAATTAATTGAGAACTTCGGAGATTTTGTGTGGTTTCGTTTGAAATTCGTGATTTCTCGAAAACCGGAAGTGCTACGTTACTCAAATCCGGTTTGTAGTCTTATCAGACTATTCTTAACTTATAACTTAAACATTCTCTTTATCTATCTCTTACGGTTTGGCCGCTGAAACAGCACCACAGACAGACGGACGGACGGACGGACGGACTTGTCTAATAGATAAGAGATTCTGTAAAGGTAAGACACCTTTCCAATATTTCGGGTAATTTAAAAAATGATATCTCTGGGTATGTTATTGAAGAGTTTAAGCAACCAAAAACAGCAATTGTGCTGTTTTACGATATTGATCGTCGTTTGTTCTTTTCCATACTAAATAATGTAGGTATCTACTTAATTAAATCAAACTAGCAAACCAGTGAACCAAATGTTCACCAAAAAAAAATGAGTTTAATTAATTGAGAACTTCGGAGATTTTGTGTGGTTTCGTTTGAAATAGAAATCACGTGATTTCTCGAAAACCGGAAGTGCTACGTTACTCACATCCGGTTTGTAGTCTTATCAGACTATTCTTAACTTATAACTTAAACATTCTCTATATCTATCTCTTACGGTTTGGCCGCTGAAACAGCACCACGGACGGACGGACGGACGGACGGACTTGTCTATTAGATAAGAGATATTTACAATACAAAACGCACGTTTAAGCACGGCTAACTGCATAAAAAACAATTCAGACTGTTCGGTCGTCGTTGCGGCGCGGCGGCGCATTCGCGACTGGGTGCCCGCCGAGAGCACATCGAACTCGAGTGGCGTAGGTATGACTCGCTTTTCGACCGTTTGTATGAAGATAGAATACTGTATGGTATTATTACCGTGGTTCAGTTTTAGATTAGATGATCTCTAAATCCTTACATGTGGAGGCACTGACACAGCACTCTCGGCGAGCGCGCAGCTTTGACGGTGCTGCTGCTGGAACTTGGGCTGATACGGCTCGAGCATCCTGGGAAACCGCACTAATTAATTACCTCAACTAAATGACATACTATGTTAATTAATACGTTAAAGTTTCATTTTGTATTCCGGCAATGAAATGTTGAAATAAAACAAAGAAACAAAAAAAAAAACTATTTGTTTTTGATTATCTTTCCCAAAAAGAGATAAATCAACAATTTCTCTATAACGATATAGTTGATCTGTAATAATGAACGACTTCCGTTCAAAAGTATCAGATCACCAACTTCTTTTATACTACATTCAACAGTACATGCTCGTTTATCAAATATTATCGAGTTAACTTTAGCTTATTTAGTATGAATAAGTTAAGCCCCGAAAAAAGTTACAAATTTATATGAGGACAATGCATTATTTGTTCTTATCCCCTGTCCTCCTTAAAATTTACAGAATTTTCTCAGTTTACTGAACCTTAACTGTTTTTGTCGATTGTCTCATTAATTGTTAGCTTAGGCACCTTCCTCGCCGGGTCGGTGCAAGCGCGTTTCGTTTTCGTTTCTGTATCGAATCTGTACAGATTTTTTACCGAAAACCACTTCTGGACCGACTGGGTTTCGCTGCAGTATAATTTCGTTTTGTTTGCAGGAGTGACGAGACGGACAAGTTGAATGGTTTGACACGGCAGCCCTTGGATGGGTAGTACATGGTACAGAGAGCTGTGTATCCGCCCGGTAAAGACCCGATACTACTCAGTAGGGAAGCTTTCAGTTAATAATATGCACTCAGTAAATGCTCTGTACAGATTCAGTACAGAAACGAAAACTAAAACGAGCCCGCGCCGACGCGGTGAGGATGGCGTCTTACCTGAAAAACCATTTTTTTTTTTTTATTTATTTGGACAACCAACAAGAACATACACCTTACATGGTAATAATAAATTTCTTTTCTTAAATAATTTGGTGTTGCCTTAATAACAGGCTGTCACGGAAAGCAAAAAAAAGTCTAATCTAATTGACTAATTTTGACTTAACTCCGCTAAACAATACATTGTTAAATTATGAGACGATTAAACTGCATGTCTTATTTTATACCAACTTTGATTCAAATCATAGTTAAAAATGTACTGATATCTCTGCGTGCATCCCCTAAGACGGGTCTCCAGCATGTGTTTTGCCCACACAATCAACAAAAATATATCAACATTCAACAAAACCGTCTACTCAAATCTTTGTTTCATTACACATATTTTTTGCATGAACATAGTTTTTGCTTTCCGAGCCTGATGGAAAACACGTACATAAATAAATCACTCCCGCGCGGGTCGAGGTATTGTATCATGAGTAATTTTTTTAACCACTCGCTAGCAAGGACTGCTTTCCAAACCTACGTACCGAGTGCAACTTTTCACTCTGACGTTTGAATTGTGACATAAAATGTATGAAATTTTTGCCAAATTTGTAATTTTTTGCACATGGATCTAGGTTTGGAACACAGCCCTGTGTATTTTGTGTACGAGAGCCGTGTGAGCAGTAGACAGTGTGTGTAGAGAAACATGTTTCAGAAACAATTTTTGGTGAATGTTTTCAAAAAACTTTTGCTGGAGACCCGGCTTAAGTTAAACATTTCGCGTTAGGTGTTCAAGATTAACTTTAAAATATTCTTTCAGATGCGTCTCTGAACTATTGGTCAAGACTTAAAAATGAAAAATAAGTCTAGTATTTAAAATCCTCCTAGTACTAAGTACGTAGTGTGAAAAAATGGCAAAAACAAAAATAAATGTATTCCATTGCGAATATGTTGACTTGGAAATATATGTAAAATTATGACAGAATAATCTTTGCCGCGACTTCATCTCAGCGGAGTCTGACTAAAGTTGCAACTTTGTAACAAGTTAAATGTTGCGTTAAGAATGTAACTTTAATTTATTATAAAGACTAACGAAACTTTGTTTTTCTTTTTATGAAAATGTAAAATTTAAGTAAAATTTATTCTATCCATAGGGAAAACCTGTCCCCTAGCAGCATAGTAATGGGCTGTGATGAAAGATGACGATGACGATGATCATGAAATGCCAGAGGCCAACTTTAAGAGTACACACAAGGAATAGAACGATAAAGAAAGAAAGTAACAACGCTTAGGACAACTTACTCCATGAATCTTCATTTAACTTAAAGCTTAAACGTTTATTATCCATTTTATTTACATATTTATTTATTGTTCAAATAAGAACAACACGATCCAAAATGTGTTAGTAGATACTTATATTATGTTAGTACTTAATTTCTAAAAGTGCCTTTGTCCTCTGGATCAATGTCCACACAAGAGGACTATAAAATTTGCCAGCACGATATCAGCAGATAGATAATACGCCATCAAGACACTGTTTCTTCCTTTAGGCTTTCTTTCATTTCACTTTTCTCGCGTATTCTGCCCAACAGCAATGCAGTCTTTTTACGCCAAATCGCATCAAAAACATCTGTACGCGCCTCGACAAACATAGCTGAAGCGCTACAAAAAGGCGGAAGATGTAACAAAACATTGTATTTATCATTCTTGCTTCCATATTTTATTTTAGAATTTTTATTAATGTAAAAAGAAAAAGTACGAGTCCAATACTTTTTGATAATCTAGCTGATAGACAAAGAAAAAAAACAAACCACACGACTGAATTGAAACTTCTTTAGCTCCATCTGTATATATATATATATATATATATATACCTATATATGTGTGTGTGTATAGTATATACATGTATATATATAGACATATATTAATTTTCTACAAATATTTAAATTTCTTTTATGTTTTCATTCATAAATAAAAAAGTAAAATTTCCCAAAGTTCACCTGAAGATTCGTTGATTGAAAAAAATAAACATACGCGGATTTAAATGGCGTAGAATTAATAGTTAAAACTAAATTGTTATTTGATTATTAATAAATTACGCTGTGTAAAACCTATTTCAATAGTTAACACCAAGTAAACATGTAAGTTAGCACTAGATTCATATATTTTGTGACGGGTATTGTTCATTGTTTACCGATGAGTCACCGGTGACACTCATCGTAACGCATTTGCCAGTTTACCCCAAGTCAAACGTGCCTAAAGAAGTTTCACATTGAAAAAAAAATTTAATCACCATCCGTATTGCCGGACCTACTTACTGAGTTTATTATCGTCGTTTATTTTATTATCTATCTGATTTTAAAGTTAGGCCAAGATATTTACGGCCTACACTTTGCAATTGCCTCAAATAACTTTTGATATAACCTAATTAACAAATTCTAATAAAAGACAAGTGAATAGCGAGCTTCAATATTTGGAAACGTGGTATGTTAATTTACCAAATGAAGGTTTTCCCCGCGGGGTGGATACTTTTCAACGTGACGTCACATTTGCTGAAGGCTTCGGTCACGTAAAACAAAATGGTAATTAAGCCATCACCCAAGAGGCTGCTTTACCAGAAACTACGCCCCCGCGTAATTGTTTTTTTTATTCCAGACTAAACCCGGTTACTGTTTTTGGTGCCACTTGTTCATTGACGAGGAGCCCGATGGCGCATTTTCACTTTGCAATTGTGACAGTTTCGTAAATTTCCCAATTAATTAACCCCTCACAATGCAGGAAGCGAAATTTTATACTGTCATCATACGTCATCTATTCACAAAATGGCGGCCCAAGTTAAAATGGCTCCGGCTCGATAAAAAAAATATATTACGCTGTAGCCAAACCATAAATTATCATTGCATGAACGAGAATTTACTAATTGATAAATTTTCTTTCAGTCAGGTACAAAAATTAAGGCATTTATCAATACATTATATTTTTTTGCCCAAAGTTTACACTACGTTACGCACTTTACGATCTAAAATAAACGAAAACTCGGGTAGATTCCGAGAATCATATAATCGTATGGATGACCAAAACGTTTATATCACGGACTCTTTCATGCACGTCAAGCCAATGGTCCCTGCTGCATTTGCATTCGCTAAGTACAGGAAATCCATCTCCAATGACATACCTAGTCGATCAATGGGAAAGGGTGAGTGCTGCTATTTTGTAAGAAAAAGCTCACGTTTCACCGCCGAATCCACCGGTGAGATTTAAAATTAGAACACCAGTTTTGAATAATACTACTTACTAATAAAATCCAAGGAACTTATATACTAACAAATATAAATTCTAATTTAACTTTCAAACTGTATGTTCTAGTTCTTATTAATGGTGATCGGGATAATATGAAAACTACCATTTGATTATTTTCATTAACACTGACAATTGCAAGAAAGGGACAAACTCCACTTTCGTCGTTGTCCTGCTCGGAACATTTTTCCCTCTTATGAAGTTAGAAACAAAAATGTACTTTATGTAACACTAGTTAGAGTAAATTTTTTGAAAACTGATATTGTTGAGTAAGCATTATAGATAGAATATAAGTTCCTTATTGAAATCATACCGACGAATACCGCGGTGTGAAAGTATGTTCTTACAGCAAAGCACTGCAGTTCCCCGACAGCAAGTACTTATTTGTTAGAGCGGACCTGAATTGTGAGACATTTGAAAAAACTATTGCTGTCACGCATTGGCAAATGCCATGCGTAAGGGACAACAGTAGTTAATGCTGAAAATTTCGTATAAAAATTGCAAAATCCGATGTTTTGCTTTATTTGATGGGTATTAGTCAGTTTTTGTAACATAATATGGTACCTATCTAATGCCGCTTCCTATATACTAAATATAAAAATTATTGTAACTATATACCTATATCCTAAATGATGTAATGGAAGGTGACTTCAGAAGTATCTCTGACGATTCTGTATATATCAATACAGGGAGAAAAAAGCAGCCCTTGCTGAGTTTCTTGCCGGTTCTTCTCAGTACAAGGTCTCCCGCCGTAGTTTTGCGAACCGATGGCGTAGCTTCTTAACCTTCATAAGTGCTTTTAACAGCCTAGACTGAATAAATGACTTTTCATTTCATTCTAAATGCTTATTAAATCTCTACAGCGGACGTCTTTAGTGGTGATGAAAGTTTGTTTATTTTTGGCAA